CTACATGAATATTACCCTCAGGAATCCCATATAAGACATCCCTTCAAAAACACATAATGACAACAATAGGCCATGACATCTTGAGAGGAGCTGATGAGTTGGACAAGGCTTGTGAAAAAACATGGAAAAGAAGCTGTTTTAACACAGCTTATTGAAGCACGTTTTCCAAAACAAGCAAAGCAAGCCCCACGTGTCTTCTCATATTTCAATCTAAAGACAGCTCATGTGATATGCTGCAGAAACCTCCAATGATATATATCCATGCACTGGGTCTAAACATTTTCTTTTTTCCTTACCCTGCTTGTCACATCGCAGCTCAAAGCATGACAGAACCACAGGAAGACCCTACGCTGGTATTACAGCTCACACCTGACAATGACTTTATGGCCACAGTAAGCTTGCTTGCTGTTTAAGGAGCCCAGAGTGCCAAAGAAGCAGGTATCATTTTGAGATCGTTCCTGCACACAGCCTTGCCAGCGTAACAGAGCATCAGTGCTGGCAGATACTGGCTGCCTGCAGCACTAGCAGACAGACAAGAACATAACAGATGTACAGTGAAATAGCTGGTTCTGCCACTGTGGCAGCTGTAGGAAGTCACCTACAACTGTGATGGCATTACAAAACAAACAGCAAAACCCTGTGACATTGTGCAGAGGACCTACAGCCATGGGGAAGGTGGGGACACTCCTGTGTATTATTGCGGGGATAAGGACAGGAAGCAGTTAATGCAGGAGGGCTCCAACAGTGGGGATAATACCAAGTGCAGAAGCTACAAGTCTTTGGTTTGGGGGGAATTCCACTTGAGAACTAACTTGTTCAAAAAAGAACAAGCTGGTGCAGGAATTGAAATATTTAAAAAAGCAACTTTCAACCTTTAGTCATGAAAACGAACAGAATTAGATTTACTGATGTACCCTAGTTTAGAAAGCAAAAAGTCTGAAAGAAGTGACACTGAAAGCAAAGGAGATGGCATGATTTGATTTCACAGGCATACCAAAGAGTACATTTTCATTTTGATCAACTTTCAGCTTTCATAAGAAAGCAATTCCAAGGCTATTTCCTGTCAAATGTATGCCCCCGAGCTGTACCAAAGGATCAGGAGAACTTCTATCCTTCTCCTAAGTAATGACGCACTTATTTTTTAAGAATTGGTTATTATTAAAATCTTTAATTTCCATACTGAAAGATCATTCCCACTCTTTCATATTTTCACAATACAGTGCAAGGCCCTAGAAAGAAAACTTTGACTTCCATGACTGAAGTTACCTGGCATTTTCCATTAAAAAGTCTCTGCTTAACACAGACGATACCACTGTAATATAAAGAAAAGCACCAGCTCATGCTGTAGCTTCTTCATGCAATTCCTAGGCCTCTCCTCTGTGCCCATGCCATGAAAGTTATGTGGGCTCAACATACTTGCCAACACTTTGCCTGTAAAGGCAAAACACTTTGCCAAGTAATGTTGATCTGTGGGGTCGGTGACTGTTTCAGAGAACTGCATAAATCCTGTTTCTTAAAGCTGACTGCAGTCTCACGTTAAACTTATATAGCTTCACATCAAAGCCTCTTAACCCAGTGGAATGCATATAACCACTTCACACTGCAAAGTTTTAATCAGATAACTTAAAATTCAGGTGTGGTGCCCTTCTGATACACACCTATATATATATATATATTTTTTTTTTTTCCAATTTACACCACCATGGAATTCATTTGTTGTATAAGTTAGGTACTTCAACTCCAAACTTTCAGACAGTTTTACATAAACACAGAATTTGGAATTAAGGTATCTTGTTTATTAGCTATATAACAAAGATCATGCCTAGGACAAAACACCTGTAAGCAGGGCTCTGAACAGAATTTGTTGGCATGTCCTGTACATGATGCACAAACAGCTACAGAGTCACGAGCTGCAGATGGCTTCTGAGAGCCTCCAGGTTTGAGCTTGTAGTCACGTAAGAGCTAGGTGCTCTGGAGCAAGGCACATCCAGAAGGAGAAGCCTAGGCATCTTAGGAATGTTAGTGCTTAATGTAACATACACAAAGCCTACCATCTGAACAGCTATTTCATACGGCATACCTATTTGGAATTTACGTGACTATATTCCACGCAATTATAACATGAAGGATTTTTTCGGGTACCTTCAAATACATTTTGATCTCAACTAACAGATATCAGTGAAATTTAATCACTGTTTTTCTCCAAGTCTTTAAGTGCTTGAACATTTTGACCTGGGACTTAAAGTAATATTCCACGAGTCACTAATTAACACAATAGCCTGGCAAGAAACAAGCTTTTAATTCTTAAACCCATGTAAACATTCAAGTCTGCAACAAGGTTTTGACAGATGAACAAAAACCCATTCAGCAATCAAACCCTTCAAGCAGAGGTCCCTAACCGTTACTGACCCTCAAGCAAACAGTACACTTCAGACAACCGAGTTATTTTCATCGTGCTGCTGTGGATACGAACAATCTGTTGACTATTAGCCTCAAGCTGGGCAATCAGTGTCTTGGAAGGATTACCTCTGGCTCGGTTTACCATTTCCATAAAGCATGTGGGTGAGGCATCCCTCACATATAAAGGATTTCAAGGTGCTTAAGCAACACCATAGCACAGAAACGTGTCAGATTTAGCATCAATATAGCAAACAATGTAAGAAATCAAGAAGTTGTTCATCCAAACGGCTGGCAGATGACATGTTGAAGGAATCTCTGCTTTCCTGCGTCACTCTTTTAACACACTGCTTGACAAACTACAGTCCACAATGTCACATCACCTTTCAACAATTTTGGTAATAAAAAATGTTAAGGGTAGAAAGACGTGAGATGTGGGTGTTTTTAGGATTGATGTTGAACTACCTCAAGCACTGGTGGGCTACTACTTCGCTACATCATTTTCACCACTTTGCTACACAGGTATGACTCTTGAAAAAGGTGGAGGAAAAAAACAAAAAGCTATACCAAATATCAATCATATTCACCACTTCCCCCTCCCTCTTGTTGCTGTTTCAGCCATGAATTGAGCAATTGTTTAGACATTCCAGTTAACACTAGCTTTGGTAAGACTCTTCTGATCTTTAGGAATACTTTGCTGAGGGAGAATAATTAACCATTTCTACTTTGAAAGTTAATTAGCACCAATACAGGGGGTTACTTTGCAGAAGTTAATGCTGCAGGATTTCAAAGCATTCAAAATAAAAGCAGTTAAGTGTACTCTACCTCCATTACACTGACTACCTACCCACTTCCTTACCACTGTGTTTACACTTTCTCTCAGATAAGGGCTACTCAACAGGCATGCCAAGTAACAGTTCTTAACAGAGATAGCTCTTGACTAACTATTAAACCATAACCCATGCCCCTCCTCCTCAGCAGGAGCTAATCATAATGCAGGGCTCTTTCTATTAATTAATTTTTGCATATGAGTATATGAAGAAATTATATCCTAAAAAAGCATTTCAAGTGGAATGAGAGCACAAAGCGATAACACAGCGGAGTCTGTGTAAAGTGTAAGTAATTATTTTCTGGTTTTACACATAACGAATCTCAGTGAAAGAGCAACCGCAAAGCAACTTGGAAGAAGTTTCTCAAACACAACAGATCTGCCCAGCAGAGGTCCCAGTCTACAGTGACATTTTATCTTACAGAGAGTTCATTGCATTTCTTCGCAGTCCTCGTCCGTGCTGGTCATGTGCCACTGTGTTCCTTGAATGCATCTGATAGCACCCTGCTACAGCTCAAAGTCCCTTCAGTTATCAACTATCACGCAGGCTTTTAGGATCCCAGTTTAGATTTAAAAAGGAAATGCCATCAAGCAAGATGTAACCAGAGGAGCGGATGCTTCATATATAATTCGTGCGAGGTATCGGCCCGTCAGCTCTAGCAGTGCACTGCGATGTCTGTGCCAGCGAACGAGCGCTTTTTATGTATTCTAATTAAATTTCATCCTTTCCACAGAAGTGGGAGAGGAGTATAGGAGTATGTGGAAACGCGTTTTGTTTTCTAAGGAGCGTTATGTTAAACGGGAAAGGTTACAGAAGTGCACTACGTACAGGTGCAGTAGTACACACACAGGTGTTTGACAGCACACACGACGGAGCCACCAGGCTCCCCAAAACACGCAGCAGCAGCACTGGGACAGGGTCACCCCTCGGTCACCCCCTTCCAGGGCTCTGCCCGCCGGCCCTTTGGGACCGAGGCTTTTTGGGGCCGGAGCAGGGCGAGCTCCGTCGAGACAAGCGAGCGGCCCCGGGCACGTGGGTGCCTCAAAACAGAAGGAAAAAAAAAACACAAAAACAATAAAAGGGGGGGGGGGGTAGGAGGGAAGAGAGCACAGGCACAAAAGCCCGGGGCCGAAGCGAGGAGCGGGCGGCGCAGCGCGCACCGGGGCAGGCGCCGGGCGCGGCCCCGCAGGTACCCGGGAGCGCGCCCCCGCCCCGCCCCGCCCGGGAACGGCGCCAGGGCCCCGCGCGCCCCCGCGGGAGGGGGGCGTCACGTGACCCGAGGGGGGAACCTCGCGGCCGGGGCAGCCCCGGGGTGGGGGGGGAGTGAGGGAGAACTGCCGTCGCCATGACAACTTCCCGGGGGGAGGGAAAACTTCAAATCCCAACCGTCAGTGCAGGAGCGGCTGGCTCTTAAAGGCGCACACACACCACCCCCGCCGCTCCCCCCCCCCCCTCCCCGCTCAGACACCCGCGATGGAAGAAGGGGCGGAGGTGGGGGGGCGGCGGGGAGCCGAGACAAAAGGAGCCGGAGCCGGGGAAGGGGGCGAAGGCAGGGCCCGGGCGGCCCTCAGCCGAGCCGCGGCGCCCACCCCGCGCTGCCCGTTGGCGGCTCAGGAGACCTCGGCTCGCCCCCCAACCGCCCCTCACCGCCGCTGCCAGCCGGAGGGGGAGGCTCGGGCTGGGGCTGGGGCTGCCGTGCCCGCTCCCCGCCGCCGAGCCCCCCCGAGCTTTCAGCGCCCCGCTCCCCGCCCGCAGCCCCCTCCCGGCGCTTACCCACACAGTGCATGAGCCGGTGCCGCCAGGAGTCGAGTTCGCGGCGGACTCCCCTGCGCTCCGCCGTGCAGCGGGGGCTCCGGCACTGCGAGGAGGAGGCGGCGGCGGCAGGAGGAGCGGGAGCCGCGGCGGCCATTCTGTCTGTTCCCTTTTCCATCTGCCTCTGACCTCACGCCCGCTCATTTACATACGAGCGCGCGCTCCCCCCCCCCTCCTTCAAACCTCAGCGAGCGCGTGCCCGCGCCCAACCGCCCCCCCCCCCCCCCCACCTCCTCCTCCCCCCTTAGCATCCGGGGCGGGGAGCGCGCGCGCGCGCCGCCTGGCGGGGTGATTGACACGTGTCCACCCCCTCCTTCCTTCCCGCCTTCCGGGCTCCTCACCGCCCCCCCCCCCCTTCCTCCGCTCCCTCTCCCCGCTCCGGGTCGGTAACCGGGCCGCCAACCGGCCCCCCCGCCCCGCTTCCCATCGATGTCCCCCCCCCCTCTGGCCTACAAATCCCGAAGGGCAGCGCGCCACCTGCTGCAGCCCCGCGGGGGGAGGTTGTGCAGCAAAGCGTGCTGGGAGTTGTAGTCCGCAGAGGGGAGCCGGGAGCGGGGGCAGCCAAACGCCCACCCCAGAGCCATCCCCAATGGGGGATGTAAGTGGCAGTAAGCGGCCAGCAGCAGCTCGGCAGCTTCCTCGCTTCCTCCTTCTCCACCTCAGATCTGTTGCGAGCGCCTCGTGTCTTTTATTTGCCCTGAACTTCCAACAGTCACCGGCTTCGCCTCAGAAACAGCGAAACCCAAGGCAACTCTTGCAAGGCATCGTCAGAGCCCACACAGCGTAAACACAATCGTGTGAGGCTAGGATGCATCGGTTTCAAACTAATAATAAACTCTGAAGGAAAAACTATTAAAAATGTATTTAGATATATTATTCTTCACAAGATGGGCTTAAGAAATCTGTTTGTGCTTTTGCTACTCGTGCAAAACTTTGCAGATATTTCCTTCTGAACTCGTTGAAGATGCTTTTCTGGGCAAGGGACGTGTTCAGGGATTGCCTGCAAATGAAGATCACCTTTGTTTCCACTGGAATGAACTGAGCTTTTGTAACAGATGACAGGTCACGGCTTTTATCCCTTTTAATTTTATTTTTTTCCCAAAGAGATTTTATAAAAATAAACTTGGTCATTTGTGTAAAGCAGCTAATAGAGCTTAATGAATTCAGCACACAGCAATTTTAAAAACTATTCATTTAATTGAACCCCGGAGATTATCATAGTTTCATATGGACACAAATGTCCTTCACCTGAAGAGGGTTTTTTTTTTTTTTTTTTGATGCCTATGTTTAAATAAAGAATTGACAAGACACTACCCCCACCTCCTTTTGTTCATTTATACAATTTTTGCTCTAGTTGCAAGTCCCATTCGAGAGACTTCTCCAGGCACTGCAGGAAAAAAGAACTAAACGTGGCTGACCAAGCTGGAGGGCAAATTTCAGGGAGAGGGAGGGAAGGCAAAAGAATTTCAAACTGCCTCGACTTAGTATTCCTAGGCCTTCTGAAAATACTGCCTAGCTGTCAGACATGCTAGGCACTAGGTATTGAACAGCTCCCTCCCTTTGAGATGCTTTATTCTTCCAAATCTAAAACTAAAGCAGGCAACCCAAGGATCTTGTTTAGTTGAACCCTCAGGGGTGGTGCTTTTAAATTAATTGTATTGGTTTTCCTTCTGTATCAAAATGACTTCCTAGCCAAGAGATTACTGCTTGCATGGACTTGGACTTCATTTTATAGAAGCGATTCCACTGTTGTGAACAAGGAAACTCCAAGACTGACTGAGGGCAGAGCCAGGGGCAGTGACGGCTAATTTTAACTTGGTTCATTTTAGCTGCCTATCCTAGCTAATTTTTCTGGGATCAGAGAGTCAGTTAACTTAGAAATGGCTCTGGAGGCAAAGTCCAGTACAATTTTGTTTAAAGCTATAAGAATTACTATTATGGTCTTTAGGCATGTTTCTTCTCTCATATATTAATTTGTGGGTAAAGACAAAATAAAATTGTCACAGGAGCTTATCTACAACCCTATCACAATCTGAAATGTTGAATTATTTTTTTTTTAAAATGCATATTGGGGAGATTGAACTGTCTTATTGATACATTGCAAAACTGTTCATCACCAAAACCTCTTTATAATTAATCCCCAAAGATGAAATTCACTCCTGTACAGACAGCTTTGCGTGGCTCTTTGTCACATAAGCACTGCTTTGTGGAAACTGGGAATAAGGATGAAGTGTAATTAAAACAGTCTAACTTGAACAGACAAAGCCTTTGCAGATGGTATCTTGAAATGAGTATGTCCTGAAATGGTGAACCTCCCCCCTTACATGAACACAATTTGTAAATCTTGAAATTGTCAGTGTTTCTGGTAAAACAAAAAGTGTTAAATAATGAATTGTACTATAGCTTTATGAATGAGTATTGCAGAGAACTATTAATATTTGAAAGATAAATGACAACAGAAAACAAGGGTTTGAAGAATAAATGCTAGGGGAGATTTCACAATAAACACTGACATGATCATTTGGGTAAAGGATCTAGCTAAACTGAACAAGCGATGTTTAATAATCACTGTGAATGTTAGGTTACCAAAATATAACTGCTTAAATCTATATGCAATATACATATTCCAGTGATTTAGTACATTATAAAGATGCATAAGATCACAATCTTATATGCTAAAATACCGCGAACTTCACAGATTTAGGCTGATGCACTGAACTGTGAAATGCTGAATAGCCAACAAATGTTTAATTCTGCTGCTTCCCCTAAGGGATGGCAGCTTCCACCCAAGAGAGGTAGGCACAGACAGCTAGCAAATGATAAATATTTTGCCACTGTGGTTTGATATGTATGGTTTAGGGCATAACTGATCCACCTACTCTTTCAGCTACCGCCAGCAGATACCTCCACTATTCCAGGTTTGATATACAGCCTACTCTTTTTCCTCCAGTGAAGGAGGAAAGTAGCCTCCAGCAGCAGAAACCAGACCTGCAGCTGTAGTGCAGTGCAGCAGGAGTGCTATGAGAAACCTGCCCATGGCAGCAAGCAGCCTAGCCCATGTGAAAAGATTATGACTAATCTAATAGTTCAGAATTAGAATTTCATAACATCCTCAATCAGTATGAAGTCACACAAAAATAGCTTTAAAAACATAACTACTTTTATAAAGGTTGAAATCCTTTACAGTTGCAGACATCTGGGTTTAGGGGCTCCATGTGCCTTACAACAAATCTTAAATCTGAGACATTTTCCTTGCAGAATACTTGGTGTTCAGTGACTGCGTGTTTCAGCAGTATATAAAATGAAAAATACTGCTCTCTCTTAATTACAGGGTCTGCCTTTGGGAATTTCATCAGCATCAGTTGATATTGCTTTCAATATATGTGCACAATTGTGTATTTGCACAGGTTAATAGAAAGCCAGCCAAGGTGAATTTCAAAATGAACAATAACATTTTTGGCCAAAAACTTCTCCTTGAATCTCTGCCTATAAAAAAAGACCAAGAAATTCATAAAGTGAAGCTTACCTTAAGTAGAAAGGCAGCACTAAGCCAATCAAGCCAGTGCTATACTTGAGCTCATGTTGTTGACCTAATTCTAATCACATGAAACCTGATTATTGCAGACAGATGACTGTTTTTCACAAACATCCGTATCTGTCATAAAGCAAGGTAAAAAATGGAAAAATGCTTCTTGTGTGTTCTTAGTGCTCTTAAAGCGGTGAGGATCAAAATAGGTAAAAAGAAAAGCTTGCATGCGAATTGCTGTTTTCTTACCAGACCATCTAACCAACTTATCTAAAAGCAGCCAAGCTTTCAAGAACACGAATATTCTTCATGTCCTATCTACTTTAACTATACTAGCTGATTTAATAGAGATGTAACAGCCATGCATCAAACTAGCCTTGTTTGGAGCAAGCAAGGCTTGAAATAAAACCATACAGTAAATATTTATGATAGATACACTCAGTTTTATGTGGTTAACTAAGACATTTATAGAACTTTCATTTTATACCATTTTGGAACACAAAGTGAAATCTTCCTGCATTCCTTTCAGATCTGAGTTTATCACTACTCTTTAGAGGCTCAGAGTCTGGTGATGCTCCCCTCTGCCAAGGAGCTATGGAGAAAATTCATCTACTCTAATTACAGCATGACGGCAGAAAGTTCCCTTGCAGGGTTGAAGAAAGGGATTGCCTCCAGAACAACTCATGCAAACAATGCAGGTACCACATGCATAGCTGTGGTCTGCAAGGCCCTCTCTGTGAGTGTTACCTTCCTCTTGAGTGGACATGGTACATAAATAAATTCTTTGTTAGTTCCCAAGATGGAAAGCCTTCCCAAAGCAGCAGTGGACCAGAATGAGGAGAGGAAAGGAAATGTAGTACTTCACAGATGTCCATGTTTATGTACACTGCCTCAGACTCATCAAATGTGTGATAATTTAGGATGTTTACTGAACGAAGAAGTGACATGGGTTGGGTTGAATGGGTTACCACAGTTGTAGAGATAACTACCCTGTGACTTTTGAAAGGGGAATAGTATTTGTCTGTAGCAGATATACTCTGTGTGAATAATTTTATGGGTGATCCTCAACCGGTGCCAATTGGTTAAATCAAAATTGGTTGCTTCAGACTGTAAGTGTTAGCTGCTCTCAGGAGATTGGTTGTTACCTTATTCATTTGTAACTTATTAAAATACTTAAATAAATCCACTAGGTATAGCTACAATTCCATTTTTTCTTACAGTTAAGCAGCCAACAGTCATGTTTCAGCCTGCACATAATTTTAGTAAACTTAGTGATACATTGAAGCCAAGATTTTGAATCAGCTCAGACCTATTAATTATCAAGAGGTAAATGTATTTAAAAAAACAGCAGACATAACACACCAAATGAAACACAACCCTGAGAGTGAAACAGAAGCCAGAGAGTTGCACACAACAAGCATCCCCCCCATGGTTATTAGTCCCCCTTTGCTTTCCTTTCCAGTGTGCTGCACTGTCACACCAACTGATACAGCATCATTTGTCCCCCTTTATTTGGTTTTCAAAGACCCAGCTACGAACCAGCCATTTCACCATCTGAACTGCTGTCAATAGTGAGACAGAAATGGGGTGACAGAAACTTGTGGAATATTTCTGTTTTGCCTAATACTTGATTATTCACCTCCCCATGCTTTCACAAGAACTGTAAGTGCTCAGAGCTATTTGGTATCCTTCTCAACATGTTCCAGAGAAGTCATTTCCCTTTCCAAGTTTCCCTGTTTTCATTCCTCCTCTGAATTTTATACCTCTCTGTAACAATATAATTCACAGTATGCTTTATCTTGCTTTCTAACATGCAAATGTGCTCAGGTTTCCAGCATAATAGATGATTCTTCAGAAGCAAAAATGTTTGAAAAAGAAGAGGAAATATCTCTCATTATTTCTGCATGACAAAGCTAAAGTTGGCATTTTAATATTCTGCTTCCCTCGTTCATAATCTGACTGATCATACCATGGTAAATTCTCTGCTTCCCAACTCTGCTCTGCTAAACAAACTCATTTAAAATAAACAACTCCTTAGGCAGTCAACAAAGGTTGGACCAAGACTGACTGCAAAACATCACTATGGGCTATAGGATTCAGGATAAAGATTTTTAATACTGATTTCCATAGTGGTTTTTTTTTTTTTTTTTTTTTTTTTTTTATCTCAGTAGAATTAATTTGTGGGCTTCTGAGCAGCAGAAGTATCATCTTCATCCTGTGACAGTAATGCCATCTTTTATGGCTCAAATAACAACCCATCAAAGTACTTGCAAGCTGCAGACCACCATCCTTGCAGAATGGATGGGCACAAGCTGTATGATGTTGGTTTTGGTGGCCCAATCTGTGCCACACTTTTCCTGCTTATGTAGCCAAGGGGTCATTTTCTCATCACACACACTTTACTGTGCAAGAGTGCATGTGTATGAGGGCTGCAATCCATTTAGACAAAGCTGTAGAGCTGGAGAAAAAAAAAAAAGAAAAAAAGAAAAAAGAAAAAAAAAAGACAAAAACCAAAACAACAACAACAACAAAAACCAAAACCAAAACCAAACCAAACCAACCAACCAACCAAACAAACAAAAAAGCTTGCTTCATGGCAAGCTGAGAATATTTGATCAGAACAGTACCTAAAATGTTATTTAATAGAATCACTTCTCAAAGCAGAGCTACATTTTGGTAGACATTACGGTAGAAAAAAAAAAAAAAAAGAGTTTTAAAGAATACATGCTCGCAAGGTGATATTAGGTGCTAATATGCAAAATAAGTAAAAGATTCTGTGTTTTTATCTTTTAAAAGCCAATCACAGTACTTTGCAAGTAGAAATATAACAACTTTTGTTCAGTGCTGATTTAAAACATTTATTATTTTTAAGTGTTTTTCTGAGGATGATATATCCTATGTTTCACCATGAACCTGACAGAAAAAGGTGTGTAAGTGAAAGGAGCCAGCTTGAAATAATAATAAAATTAAAAAAAAAAAAAAAAAGAGGAAAATATAGTCTTCTATAGATTAAGCTGCTGTTTTAACACGTCATTATATGACTATTAAAATTAAATTTAGAGGGAAGGTAAAATCCTATATATATGCCTAAGTGATGTCTCCATAGCACTATCTGTCAAATATGGCTGTTTTTTTCCTTCCATTTAAACTGTTATCCTATGTTCCACACAGCTGAGTAATGTCACTCACTCTCTCTAAAGTTTCCCAAGTGGCTAAGTAATTTAAGTATGCCATCACCAGAGCAACTCTGCAGCTGAAAATATACTGCCATTAAACCCAGAGAGAATAGATCGCTAATTGCAGCTTAATATTAGAGATAGACATGAAATACTGAGCCAGTCATCAGGGCAACGTGCTGGTAATCCAAACTTACACTAGTGAAAAGACAAAGAACTGTTTACTGTCATCATGAATGACTTCTACAATTACGCTAGCTAAGTACTCCCTAAAACTAAATACCACAAGGGTTGTTAGCTCTGCTGTGGACCACAGATTAATTACAATTTAAGCTAAGGAGGATATTGTTTCTCCAATACTACTCTTCCTTGTGTGGGACATCACACTGGGTAGGTTTTCCTATAGTTTTTGGCATTGTCTGCTATTTCATAGCCAACCAAACCAGCACCCACAGTGGGAGGTGGCAGGAAATGAGGCTGGAAAGCTCATCGGTCACTTGAGTAAAGCTGCTTATTTCCTGGAACATCACTTGCACAGTTATTGCCTCTTGAAGCTGAGCTTTTCATGGTTTGATTTAAGACAACTATTTTTATTACATCTGTAAACTTCATCTTATCAGTTTTATGTATAACCTTTCTCTTAGCTGAATTGTCTGTGTTTTAGGTTATGTTACCTTCTGAATCCCCACTTAACTCCCTCCTCCCTCCTTTTCCACCAGTTCCATCTCTTCCATTTTCAAGCTAAACTTCTCAAACTGAAAAAAAAAAAAAAAAAAAGTAGAAGAAAAAGAAAGGAGGAACATTGTGGATGAAATGCCCTACTTCTGTAGTGAAATAAAAAGACAGCAATACAATTTCTCAGACAAAAATTTATTTGAAAATAAGGACCTCGCTAGATCAGTGTTACGGGGTTTAGTTTGCTGTGGCCTTCACATAACAGTTCTTGAAATGCTTGTTTGCTTTTCTGCAATTCTCAATATTTATCTTTTCATGTGATTTTAATCATTTTCAGTACTGCCGTAAGGAAACAAAAATAAAATTTATATTTCACAAAAAACAGATAATACATTTAATGTAACTGTGATTATCTTATTGTACCTCTTTTCAAATGTAGGTTTTGAAATCAAAGATAAGGAATGATTTTTATGTTCATTTTATTTTCCAGTAGCTTTTCTGAAACTTGATTTTCTGATTTTCTTATGTTTTCTGGCTGTACAGTTTTTCCCATTAATTTGTAAAGACTATTTTGTATTATGTTAATTCACACAAATTAATAGAAAAAATAGAGATTCACATTGAGTATTCCTTTTTTTTGGGACTGTATGAAGTAATCTCCTCAGATAACCAAAACGGAAGTCACTAGGATAAATATTGCAGACCGAACAGTTCCTCATTGGACTCCTGCTGAGAAAGTTGGATGGCCATGTAGATCTACTATGGATCACCATAAGAAATGGTGCAACGTTGCTATTGTCATTTTCCATAATTTGGTCATCCCCAAATGGCCTTATTCCTTCCAGTTATTCATGGGTTCAGATGCAGACAGAATGGATCTTTTCCTCCTTTATCTTATGCAAGTCCACTTCCTGAAAGCAAAACATTTATTTCTTCCCTTTCCTCTTGTTTAGAATTCAAGACTTTAGGCTTTCACCATTTGCCATGAAGGACACTTTCACAGCTAGTTATCTACATTCCCCAGCAATGTGTGCCCACAGCAGGCAGCAAAGACAGCTGGCTAGGAAGTGTGGGTCTGAAAGCCCTGTAGCCATGGCAGAGTAAGGCTGGGATCCTGCTCCTTCCAGTTTGGGTCCTGTGCCACAGTGATCCGGACATATTTCTTCTCCATCCAGCCTGTAGAATTTCTTTGAAGTGGAAGTCAAAAGTCTCCTATCTTCACTTGATTCCATAATCTTGGGCTTAAGAAAATAAAAGATTTTGTGATATGAATGTAAGAATTGACAATGTTTTGGTAGAGACTCTGTCATAACTCTAATGGTTTACTATTTATAATAAGTAAAATAAAAAACAGTAGACTTATGTGTTAAACAAGTAAATATTGTTACATGCCAAGGGTGTACCACCACTTGAGCGGGTTTCACAATACTGAGTAATTGCATAGACTTGTGACAAGTCCTCCCCCATTTTAGATTGATTCTCTTATTCTTAGGCAGTCTCACAATCAGCTTTTCTAAACATTTGTCAGCCTGGTGTTAGTGCCATAAAATAGATTCTGGTTGTTATTCAAATAATCCTTCAGGCTGGAGAACCTGAAAGGAGGTGCTGGGAATGCCTTTAACCAGTAGTTTTTGTTGCTGTTCGTTAAAGTGGGCTCTAATCTTTTATCTTTTTATCTGTAGGACTATGAAACTGGAATAGAATTAGTTACTTGTAAAACCCAAAGCAATTTTGATCTTGATCTTATTCTAATTTACTTATTTATTTGCTTTGAAGGTGGCAATTTTCTAGTGACGCTACCTGCAGTCCCCAGGTTTGAAGTTATGAGAGGTCACATGCTTCCAGTAGTAACTCAGCTATTTCATTCTGAAATTCATCCAGAACTCAAGTGAAGACTCAAGCCTTGATGACTTATTTAGTGTTTATTTAGCAACTTGTTCCATAGATCTTCCACAGCCACTTTGATTTCAGAAAAGTCCGATGCCAAGTTCCCTCCTACCAGAAAAAAGGTTCAGCATAAGTATCTCTCTAGCTTCTGCCACCTCCAACATCAATGCAAAGAACTCACTAAGCTCCTCAGCAGTGTCTTTATCCCCTGTGAGTGCTCCTTTTTATACAAGGAGGGCACCTTCTAAAATAAATCTCAGTTCCATTTCTATGCCGACCTTGCACAACTGCTTTATATTATTATCGGCAATAGATTATTGGAAATAAAATCTTTTCACTCCTAGGATCCATATTTCCTATCAGTGAAAATTAAAGAAATTTAAAACATTTTGCACTTCCTTTGTAGCATAGAAATGCTAGCTTACTGGTAACTAATACTCCTCTCCCTTTATTTTCACATGTGGGCAATCAATTGGTTAAGAGTAGGGGAAACTAATAAAACATGTAATGTCCCAAATATTTAAACCAATTCTGTACCCAGTGAAGGGATAACAGTACAAAGTTTCCTACCTCCAAACAATTAAGAACATTTATTGAATTTAACCAATCATGCCCATTCTAGTCTTACTGTTTCATTTAGCTCTGCAAAGAAATCACTGCATTGTTTTTTCCTATGACACCCACTTTCCTGCTATTCCCAGCTGCACAAATCTTTTGGTTAAAACAACCCTACTTTCTCTTGTTAAAGATACCTAAGTACACTGTGCTTAATGTTTAAACAGCTCCATGTGTACCCAATTATGAAAGCAATTAATTTAGTCAAAGACTAGATTAACTGCCATCTGTGGCCTGATTGTTTGTTAAATTTGAGTACCTGAGTATACTTCGGATCAAAATTATCATCAACAAGATCTTATGTGGCATGTGATCCAGTGATAAGTCAACGTTGCCCAAGAACATCTTGATATGAAAAGAGTTGAACATTAACTGTTAATTATTATTATATCACTCGTATTACCGATTTGTGCAGAGTGCATGATTAGGAATGCATTTTGCTTCACAGAAATAGAACCTTGGAGTTTGCTAATAAAATAATACCACTTTTAGTGGTTTAATAGGTGTGATACAAGAACCAAGTCCAGGATGGTAATCATATATATAGTAGGGGAAAAAAAAAGAAGCTGAGGGGAGGGCCAAAACCCCTGGGGGTTTTGAACAAAAACAAACTGGGGAAACAAATGAAGCAGAAGCTTGAACTAAGGTCATCCCTCAGGATAGGGCCCTATGTAGATATACAGCTCGTCACCAAATAAGTAATGCAAATATTTAGCTAATCCATACCAAGTGGACAGCTATAAAACTAAAGGGCATGTAAGTCCACAGACAAGGAAACATTGCCCTAAGCCCTCTGTAGTGTGATAACCATCAGGCTCTTCTCAGTGCTCAAACAAGTGTATTCTAATTTCTGAGGGAACAGGATAATGTGCTTTGGGTTACTCATGATCTAGGTGAATACCATAGAGAAACTATTTGGGAAGGAAAAGAGGCAGAACCTCTCTTTCCCCTCCTGCCTTTGCTAAATGAGCAACATTTGTGAGGGTTTTCAGATAGTCCCAAAATTGTTTTTATCAAGTAAACAATGACAACTTTATTTTAAGAAATATGCTTCGCCATGAAATAAATTAATTTACTCTCTTGATTTAATTATTAATTTTGAACTGACATTTTTTGAGTGGATGAGAGGAAAAAAAATCAGGTTTGGCATGGTGTCTCAGAAGTATTTAGGTCATAATTCAAAGCCTCTGATGAGTGGGAGAGGGAGCAAAAAGGTATTTATGTACTGCAGTCACAAACTAAGCCATATTCCTCAATTTTCATTTATTTCTTTATTTACTGTGATCCTTGCTGGCCTGTTTTCTAGCTTTCCAATGCACTTAAAAAAGGATGTATAAGAACGCTTAGAATTTTTAGAATTACTAAAGTGAAATACTGGCAGGAAAAGGACTTCAGGTAAAAGATACTCACTATTTTCTGGTAAGAACATAACTGTTTGATTCACATTAATCTTTCTAGAGGAATTAATGTGGTCTGTCCTTGGATTTATTTATTGACCAGTTTGGCACTGCCTGTCAGCCTTTGCTGAGTCCTACTAAAAAGATCGTTTTGAAAGCATTCCCTTTTAACCACTAAACTGTCAGACAATTCCCATCTTCAAATGAAGATTAAAAATATTGTGCTATATTTTTAATAAAACAATGTAAAAGTCAAATAGCTTACAACAGGATAGAATGACATAAGCTATAAATTGTTCCTGCATTTGTCTGTAATTATTCTGGCCAACATGGGAATTTGGCATACCCTCTAGAGCTGGAATTTACTCTTGGGAAGACAGCTGTGCTCCCAATAGAAACAGAAAAGATGATCTAGTAGGCCTACCTAAAGAGATAAGCTTAAGTGATGGTGGTGATTCTGGACATGGGATTACAGTCATCCTTTTGCTCGTATGGAAGGACGTTTCCTTGTGGTTACAGAGGCATTCAATTAAGCAATAACATGCCTTGGAGTAGAGAAATGGATTTAAAACAAGCTCATATGTTTCCTTAAAATGCCACTTTATAATATTTAAAACAATTTTTAAAGGTGGAGAAACAGTTCCACATCACACAGAATCTGGGACCAGCAATGGGTTTTTCTCTCGAAAACGAAGCCATATATGTATACACACACATGCCCTGCATACAAACACATAAATAAGTAGCAAACTCTTGTCAGGCAAGCAAAGCTCAGTATGAAAATTAAAATTAAAAGAAAGTAATATTGAAACAAGTTATTATGTATTTTTGCCTCCTTCACATTGCCTCTTATAACAACAAAAGAAATTAAGGCAGGCAGATGAGTGTAGTTTTTTTTTTTTTGTTTGCTTGTTTGTTTCTGACTATATATTTAGGGCAAGTTTTGCTTCTTTCAATAGGTGAGAGACAAGAGTAGTTAGAGGAAGAGGCTGTAAGGAAATCCTCTTGGTACAAGTTATGCAAGCTTCTTGGGAGTTTCATTATGACATTTCATTTCAATATAGCTAACTTGAGAAATGATAATTAGAAATTATCTTTCCTTAAAATATTGAGTGATTTGGTAGTCACCTTGCTTCCCTCTCTGAGAATGAGTAAGTAGGTATCCAGGAGTTTATGGAAAGGTTGAGGCTCTGCTAACCTGCCTCTAATGCAACTAATACTCCAGTACATATTATGGTCTTTGTAGGCAGTCTCAGTAGATTAAAAAAAATAAAATAAAATAAATGGTCCAGAATCAAAAAACTTCAATGCATCATCTTGAGAATAATCAGATCAAAGGAAAAAAAATATTCAAATACTCACCTAGTACAATAATGTGAAACACATGCTAATCAGCTCCCGAAATGAGTGTTATAAATAATTTTTTTTTAAGCTTATTTATAAAGGAGATCCATTTTGGAAAGGAAGATAGGACAAATAATAAAAAGAGAAAAAAAGTTGAATTTTTATCTAACCTGATAATCCAAGCTTAAGGTTATAACCAATGCTATCACGATAGTTGATAAAACCTTTTGTTCACATTTTATTCTACGCTATGTTTCATTAATCAGCCTGTGACTGAGCACAGAGAATAGCTGCCTGGCTGCTGCAGGTCAGCATGGAGGAGATCCACTGGGAGCAGTTAGGCACGTTCACCTGGGAGAAGATTTTGCTGTGAAAGAGTAGGATCACTACAGTAGTGATCTTACAGTATTGATTTTACTAGATGATGAGAAAAAATTATGTCTTTGGGTGAGCTCAAAAAAAGGTGAAGCTTATCTAACATCAAGATTCTGGCTAAATTTGAGTTCTTTTTGAATTACTTTAGGCCTTGAACCTACAAGAGAATTTATATGGACAAATATTTGCTCATGTAGCAATCTCCTCAAAATCCCGTCATCGCCTACCCAAGCACAAATAAAAGGGTATATGCGTAGCTAAAAACAAATATGTCTTTGTTTCATTACTCAGATCTACATGTGCAAAGTATTTTTTTCTGCTGTTATGCTGTAGCCATTTTTTGAGACACAAAGATGTGGAAGGGTTTCTGCATGAATTCAGAGAACAAATATTCATTATTGAATGATCATTTTCAAGAAGAAACATTCTGTTTTATTTACAATGATCAATAGGATTGCACTAACTCTACCTCATGTTTTCTTATTTGCTATTTTTTTTCTTTGGTTTAATCACATCATCATTATGTATTTCTCATTCTTTAAAAATTAACATTTTAATTACAGTGTACTTAAATGTTGTCTCTTTGTAAATATTTACTGGGAAAGGTGCTTTGCCAGGGTGAGAGACAGGAGACAGCTGTCTGCCATACACAATGCAGTTATAGTTGGAAGTACTGCAAACCTAAAATAACCATATCTTTTTAACAATAGAAGTAAGAAATGGTAAAATTTCTTACGTGAAGAAAAACAAAAGGCACCATGAAAAGGAAGAAATGTGTTTCCCTCCAGAAACAGTTTATTGCTTTGAAATATATCTATCTCAAATGACAAGAAAATCAAATGGATTTCTAAACAAAGGTCAAGCTGTTATGACAGCATTAAGAAAGCATACAATACTAGCATGGATAGAATTTACTCAGCTTCTTCCCCCTTCCTTTATTCTAAATACATTCATTCTCTGCTTCTGTATAGAATTATAAGATGGAGTCTACATAAAGATATAGTCATCGTGTATAGCAGTGCATGGCTGTAATTCAGGAAAGCACTTAAGTAGGTGATTAACTTCAAGAATCCACTTACCCACTTTCCTAATTAGAAAGGAACTTAAGCTGTCCTGGTTTCGGTTGGGATAGAGTTAATTTTCTTTCTCCTACTTCTTCACCTTCCCTTTCCCCTTCACCTTCCCCTTCTCCTCCAGGCGAGCTATAATAGCTCTTGAGAATTTTGAATATCCTTGGGATGTTCAAGCCAGCATGTTCCTATTGCTGTGTCTCCTGAATATGTTCCTGGTTTTGTTTAAGGTTAAAAAGCTTTATAAGAATAACACCCAGAGATCTGTTTCAAGGCAGGATAGTTATGAGTGACAGAGTGTGTGGGATAGTATGGACAGGTACCTAGGCCAGGGGGCACCTCCAGTGCTTTGAAATGTCGCCCCTGAATGCTGAATAACTAGTAAAATATTTGGGAAAAGTATACTGTCACCCTGGCAATTCTCAGAAAGAGCAGTCAGGCATTGGAACAGGTTCCCCAGGGAGGTGGTGGTGTCACTGTTCCTGGGTGTGTTTAAGGAGAGGTTAGACTTAGTGCTTAGGGACATGGTTTAGTGGGTGATACTGGTGGTAGCAGGATGGTTGGACCAGGTAATCTTGGAGGTCTTTTCCAACCCTAATGATTCTATGATTCTATGAAATCACTGAAATGTGCTGGGGCCTGGCCCAAGCTTACCGAGCCTTGTTCAACACTATTCAGCACCCTCAGAGGAAGAGAAGGCTCCTGGATCTGATAACAAAACAACAGGCCCAGTGGCCACTCCAACCCCTGCGACAGGCCCTGTGGCTGAACCGGAGAATAAACCCATGCGGACATCTGTCACTGCTATACATGAAAAGAAACAATGGATGTGAAAGTCTCGTTTAGTAAGGGAAGAAGTGAGGGAAGAAAGCAGGAAGAAGGCTCCCCCCTTCCTATAAAGGGGAAGGA